TTCACCTTTTGTCGCCATAGTGCCACCATATCTAGAGCCGCAACGCTCAAGTTTGATACTATATTTTTTATAAATATGTGTTAGTTCTATTATTTATGTAGTTTAGTTCCTTGAGTATAATTAAGTACTTTTTCAGTGTATTTCTTTAGTGCCTCCTTAGAGTAAAATTTAAGTGAGGCTAGAGAAGTGCAAGATACAATCTTTTAGAGGGATTAGCTTTTGTTTGTATAAGCAACTCTATAAGTAGAGGAAGAAGAAGCAGAAAGAAGATACTTAGATCCGTCCTGGTGATAAACTTCTTAAAACTTCTCTTATACTTTATTCTTCTATGAATAAAATGAATATGAGTTTGCTTGTTATTTATTTCATGCCTGGTTAGGTCTTTTATTTGGGGTCGATGATGTAAAGTGTATATTAAGTGCTAATAATATAGACTCTTTTTTTAATGAAAATATTGATGTTTCCAATATCTCTCGTTCCTCATTTAATGCATATAATAATAATGTGCATAGTTAAAATCTACTGTGAAGTATAAGCTTGATAGAGGAATGTAAGAATAATTAGAAATATTAAAATAAAATATTAACATGCTTAAATATAAGATGTTTCAATACTCTAGATTCTATGGAGATAATAAAACTGTAGGAAGACTAACAATATTTCTTTTCACCTCGATAAGTTTGACAAAGATCTAGGAGTGCATATGCTCCAATCCGCATCTATAATTAAGAGTTTCATTAGGAAAACTATATTATTTACATGCATCAGTCCAAAATATTCTATCAAAATTATATCAACTATTTTTTTACTTTTTTTATTTAATAGCCTCATTTTTTGTATGAGGTCAATTATCTAAATCAAAATTTCATCTCCATATTAAAATCACTGAATAACACTTCAAACCCAAAGTAAACATGTGTACTATGCATTGGTATTGCACCTTAATCATTGATAGATAAAACAATCACTTGACAGTCACCCTTGATTATCATTTGATCACCTGATCAATTAGTTAATAATCGCCAAAATGATTCTCAGTGATATGATTATTGAAAAATCAAATCTTCACTCAATCATTGATATCCAATGATCATATTCAAATCAAATCAAAATCAAAAATTCTAATCCATCAGTAGACAATCACCATTGATTGTCACATGGTCTCTTATTTAATCACTAGCAATCATCATTGATTATAAGTGATTTGGGCATTTTAAAACCTAAACTCTTCAAATCATTGATAAATCAAATATAAATCAAACTTGATCAAACCCATTGTAAACTCAAAACTTCAAAATTAAGTGTTAGAACCAAACCCAAAACCCTTTGATCCATAGCCTATTGAAGAGATTTTCATTGCCTTAAAACCTGACTAAATGAACTTAGATTCCTGATCTATCACTTGCATCTTTATGAGGCATGTCACTAGGGTCTACCACATCAATTTGAAGACATTTCAAGAACCTTAACCCCTAAAAATTAAAGCATTTTCATAGATTGTAAAACCTTCAAATATTTATAGCTTGTGCAATTGAACATAATATATTATGGTTTTTGACCTTGGAGGCTTCTCTAAACTCATTGATCATGATCATCATTATTGGCATAATGCATTAAACTAGTATTGGACTTTGGTTGGTCATAGTTGACCACAAAATCCTAAAATCCTAAACTTTGAAAATAGAATTTTCCTTAAACCTCAACATGGCTCAGTCAATCCAAGCCACGCAACCTTCTCCAAATATATCCATAATATGAGTTGAAATCTATAACCCTAGGTTAAAAAATTTTCCCTTTTTCCCTCTAAACAACATTGCATGCATGGAGACCCAACCAAACCTTAGGACCACCTCCAACAAATCGTAAATAACATTTAAAATGCATTAAACCAAGGTTAACCAAAGGGTCCTTTTAGCCCTTAAACATGAATTTTTAACTAAATGAACCCACCAATCCTTGGGATTACTTTCATCATGTTCAAAATATCATTTGGAATGAGTTAGAACCATCATTAACCACTGGTCAAACCAAGTTGAATAGGTCAACCCTAGTTGACCAAAACCACCCTATAAACTTAAAAAATTCATTTCTTATGATTTGACAAAATCATTGAACCAAACTCATGGAGATTATTCATGAGGTCAACATGAGAACCCCAAGTATTGGGAAACACCGATAAGGTTAATGTCGTGGCACCGTATCAATTAACATTGAAGCACCAATTTTAATGCGATAACACCAACCTTCTTTATTTGTAAGCATCATGGCATCATAGACATCAGGTACATCACACACCATTCAATGAAGATTCATGGCTCAAGATTGAGTAGAATATGATATATTGAAAGAGTCTATAATATTCATTTATTTTTTTTTTATTTCTTGAATCAAGTCAAATAAGGGTGTATGTTAGCTTGGTGACCATGCACATACACACTCAAAGGAGTGAGATAGTAAGAAAATTAGAATTATATTTTTTTTCTAAACTAATCAAGTTGTATAATCTATATCGTATTTTATGATCAATTATTCAAAAAAATTATTGAAATGACTCATGGCATAATTAAAGTTATTTGCACTCATTGTAATGTACGATCAAGATTGTATATGATGATCAGTTGAAATTAAGATCTTAGTTGTTAATCATAATTTTGGTAATATTTTGAAATTCAAAATATGTACTAATTTTACCATATGATAGGTATTGTATTGTACGATATAATAAATATTTTCTAAATTAATCCTATAATTATGGATCAAATTTGGATTAATTAATCTAGTCAAATCATATCGTACGATTGAACAAATCGTACTATACCACCTTATCTTTGCATGTGATGATATTTATTTATCATTAATCGTATAGGATGATAATCCAATTTGATTTAACTAATCATACTAGATGATGCATTATATCATACTGGATGATCATCACAAACACTTAAACATATCGTACAACGCATTGCTCTTTGTACAATACTAATATAGCTATTTGAACTAATCGAACTACACGATCTTTGATCATATTGTACAATCAGTGACAACTGAATTAATTTTTAGGATTTTTTTAAGCCCTCTATTTAAGCTTTCTCATAAGACTTTGTAAGAGTCTTTTGGCATTCATTGAGTTGTTTTCTTCAAAAAAAAGTTTGAAGAGAGAGCCTAGAGCTTAGGAGTGAAAGGGCGGAGTGTGTGAGAGAAGGAGAAGATTCTTATGGGTTTCAAGAAAATGTAAGAGGGAGTTCCACACGGTTGCTCAGGCTAACTTCACTACAGAAAAATCACCCATTACCGGCGGCCTTGTCCGGTGGCTTTCCGGCGGCCACTTTTCCGGCGGCTTTTCGACACTTTTCCGGCAGCTTTCCGGCGGGCACTTTTCCAGCGGCTTTCCGGCGGCTTTTTGGCGTTTCTAACGGCTTTTTAAAAATTTAAAGAAAATGAATAAATTTTAAAATATTTAAATGATTTAACAAATAATTATTAATAGTTAATTTTCATTTTAACTATTAACAATTTAATCAATTTTCATTTTAAAATTAATTAGTTAGGTAATTTTTATTTTATATTAAATATTAAATTTTATTTTAAATTAATCAGTTTTATTTTTTAAATTGTTAAAAAATTCTTTATTTACTGTAAGAATATAGTTTAAATAATAAATTTTGACAAATTAAACTTATTTTCACAGTTAGCAAAATGGTCCGTTAGCTGAAGTTCTTCCAGGTGAACGCAGTTCGATGTATAGTCCCACAAACTGGGATAATCCGAATACAATTTGTTTCTCCCAAGAAGTCTATAAAATTCTGCAAATTCCCTGCGTTTCCCGAAAATCCGGCAGAGTTCCGGCGTCTTCAGGCGGCAGGAAGAGCTCCGGCAGTGGTCGAGGAGGTGAGGAATCTCCTTTTCCCCTTTCTCCTCTTCTTCTTATCTCCCTTCACTTGAGTCCCCTTGGTGTAGAATGAGGGCTCTATTTATATTTTTTTCGGGAGTGACATAGCCCGTAAATAGGTGTGAGATCAGGGGCGAATTGGTAGTGTTTTGAATGGACGGCCGATATTGAATCCTTTGCTCATGCATCGTTTGTTGGGCATTTGAAGGCCTTAATGATGTTGGAATTCGGCGATCTTGGGCTCGTTGGATTCGTCTCGTCGAGCCGTTCGATTCGAGTATAAGCTCGTCAAAATCGGATACCGTTTGGTAACTCAAATTGCGGTTTGAACCTTCCAACAGTGCTTTGAGCCCTTGATTTGGACTCATTCGGGCTCGGATTGGGTTGATCTTTGTGTCGTTGGGTTCGTATTTCCGAGACGCTCGATTTGACTATAAGCTTGCTGAAATCGGAGTTCGGGGGCTCCCAAAATTAATTTTTGAAGTTTTCAACTAACTTTTGCCTCGAGATTCGTGCCCGATCAGGCTTTTGTGATGCCGTATCAAGTTTATATTTTTTATTTTTTTTTAAATACAAATTAAAACATATTTGATATTTCAAAAATTTCTTTTATTTATATGATAGCGATAACAGTTATCAGTACTGTAACGAAGATCATCAACACAGCAGCGATGGTAATAGCTAGCGGCGACGATATTGGCATCCAATGACTAAATATGATAGTTATTTTTTAAAATATTAAAATAAGTATAATTTAAAATAATTTGATTTATTTTTCAAATAGAAAAAAAAAATTAAGAAAAACATTTTTATAAAATAAAAGAATCCCAAAAGGCTCTTTAAATTTACAGAACAAAAACGAGGCTCCTCATAAAGCCGCTTCACAATCGAAATGCCAGAAAAGTCAGCATTCACCGAATTTCCAAAGAATCCCAAAACGCTCTTAAATTTACATTACGAAAACAAGGCTCCTCCTTAAAGCCGCTTCACAATCGAAATGCCAGAAAAGTCAGCATTCACCAAATTTCCAACAACTCCATTTGATTCGCATTACCGACAGCACGATGAAGCGTCTTTGACGTCACTCCAGCATGCAAATTAGTGAAGTAGGTTAAGCACTAAATGTGGTTTATTATATAAATTTAATTTTGCACAATTGCTCTAAAATGTTGTAAGAAGAGACAGCACTTTTTACATTTGCATCATCTTATAACGAAATTTAGATGAAATTAAAAAGCCCATTAACTTCAAATGAGCACATAAATAATTAAACAGCAATTAAATACAAAGTTCCATTGACAGAACTGAAATAGCACAATTTAGACCAAAATTTAAAATATAGGAAAATAAAAGGGTAGAATTATAAATGTGAAAATTTACCATTTCAACCTTATTCCATGTCTTCGGCAATGTTATAGGCTTATAGCTGCTTTTCCCTGTCCAGAAATGTAAAATCAACTTTAATTGCAAAGGGCTTTGCGTTAATAAAAAAGAAGAAATGGCTCTGCTCACCACCAGCGTTCATACCACCGTTAGCTCAGACGTCGACGGTGCAGGAGGTCATCCGCTGGAACCGGAACGCCGTTAAGCCGCCGTTGTCCTTACTATTAGCGACGGTGAAGAAGGCGGGGCAGCTAACATCGATATGGTAGTGATCGGAGATCCAGCTGCCGACCTTCCACCGGAGACGGCCGACGATCTTGATGTAAATAAGAACGAAGCCGGCGTTCTCATCCTGTCCTATGGCGTCAACAAGGTAAGGAGAGATGGGTACGGCGATACTGGAGAGGAACGGAGACCAGATGTTGACGTCGTTGTGGCCCTGGTAGCCGGTGGGAAGGCCGGTGGCGACGGTGATCTGCTCGTTTTTGTACTCGGCGAAGACATCGAGACGGTCGTAGTAGATTCCGATTCGATCGTTGGGGTTTCGGGAGTAGATGGTGACCTGGAAATTGGAGGAGAGGAGGTTGGTGCCGGAGGTGAGATTGAATTGGTAGACTTCGGTGTCTTGTAGGAGGAATTTAGGTTTCGTGGGGCGGAGAACAAGCCAGATTACGAGGATGATGAAGAGGATGATGATGATTAGAGTTAGGAGGCAGGCGAAGATCCTGCGGTAGAGCTTGTGGCGGTAGTAGGAGCCGTGATTGCCACAGTCCTTTTTCGGCGCCATGGACAGAGAGGTGAATTGGAAGAAGGAAGTATAAGATCGACGGAAACCAGAGAGAGTAAGCGGGAAGGAGGAGAAGGTAATTCACGGTGGGCCGGGATTCGGGAAAAGAAGGGAGGAAACAGAGCAAAAGTGAGAGGGGAGATGGAGGAGGGAAATACTTGTAGAGCAGTCGAATGCAACGGCGGCGAATAACATGCTCCGCGGAGCAGAGTTTTTCTGTTATAGCGCTTATCCTATAGCCAATTTGCTATTATCATATATATAATGATGATTAAAGATATTACAAATAAAAATTAATTGTCGTGAGAATAAAAGATATTTTCCATATATTATGTAAAAAAAGACCGGATATTACACAATCAACACTTATTATATACTTAACATGCATAAAATTTTAAGGCAGCTTATTTCGCATGTGAAAAATATGATTTTTTTTCTCATGTGATGCATGAACTTGTTCTTAATAAAGCTTCTTGCTTCCACTCTATAAGTCTTATAATAGTCTAAGGCTTTGTTTGTGAATACTTTTTTATTGCTTCTTAAAACGAAATTTTAGTATAAAAATTTAAAGTCTAACCCTCGGCTGCTTAAGCAACATGATTATTTTGTACTGAGAAATGTACTCACTTATTTGTGACACTCTGCAAGTATTACGCATGTCTGAATTTCGATCAATGGATATTACATACTAACTTATACTTTTGTTAGTGCTATAATGAAAGAAAATGAGAGATAAATTTTACTATTAAAATGAGGGCATGAACTCATAAAGTGGTTTAGAATAGAGTCAATGTTTACCTATTTCAAGATCTTTGTGAAGGATAAATTATATATAAATAATTATTATATTTTCTTATAATTTTGAATTTTCATGTGAACTCTTTGAAAATTAGCTTGTCAAATCTCCATTGCCACTTCATTATCATTCAAAGTTCAATTAAAAATATGCATGGCTATGCTTCTTTTAGAAGATTCCATATTAATGTTCTTATCCTTAAGAGTAGCAATCAAATGAGCTATAATCCTTTGTAATTCTAAGATGGAGTTATAGTACTAAAAACTAATTTCTATGTGCCTTTAAGGTGTGGTCTGCTCACTTCTTGGATTTCATGTGATGTTTTAAATTTCTTCTTCAGTGAAAATCTTTCACCACTTTTGCTTGCACCATCATGTAGACTGTTGAACCTCTATTTCGGCCCAATTTGCACGAAATATATTCACAGATCTAAGGGCGCATCACCTCGTTTTTTTTTTCTCTCAAAAGTTTTATTTTGAAATTTCATCCATGGGATTTTCTTATTTTTGTGAAACAAGTTTATGATTCTTCCTTTTTTTTTGGTTTAAAATGTTAGATATATGTTAATCTTGAACTTTGTTATATAATATTGATATATATTTTTAGGCACCCATTTAAAGTTATATATATATATATATATATATATATATATTGCTTATTCCTAAGTGAGATTTGTATGCATGTAATGATTTACTATTTTTTATTTGTAATATGTATGAATATTTGTATGCATGCATGCATGTAATGTTTATGTATATATGTATGCCCGTGAGAAATTGAATGCATGCTTTTTTTTTTAAATTCATGTATATATGTATGAATGCATGTACTTTAGTAATTGATGGGTTGTATATGTATGCACATATAAAAAATAATTAGTGATGTATACTTTATAGAATAGACTTGTTGTGTCCAGGAATATTCGTGGCGGTAGAGAAATATAAAGTTTAATGTCTTATCTTTATATGAAGATCTAACACATAATAAGATGAAAGAGAGGGTGTAGCATTCATAAGAGACATTAAGAGTTTTACGTAGAAAACTAGACCTGTCAATTTCGGGTTACGGGTCGGGTTCGGGGAACTGACGCCGGCGTGAAGAAACGCTGCTGCGCGGACGGCGGAGCGGGGCTGGCGGGCAGCGGGCAGCGCGGGGGCAGCGAGCGGGGGCAGAAATTCAAATTTTTTTAAAATAAACGGGTTGTCGGGTTGACCCGGAAACCCGTCGGGTCAACCCGAACCCGACCCGTTTTTGCAAACGGGTTGGTTTTCTGAACCCGAACCGGACCCGCTTCGGGTTCGGGTCAACCCAAACCCAAAAATTTTGAGTCGGGTTCGGGTCGGGTTTTCGGGTCGGGTTCGATGTTGGCAGGTCTATAGAAAACCCTGAAAAAGGGAAAAATCATGGGGCGTAGCCTAATTTGAATGAATCCACTAGTATTTTCAGTTGATTACAAATGAGGCCCTTCATTGGAGTGAAGGCCTTGGCTTGATGTAACAAATATACATCATATCGAATGCATTACACATTGGAAATTTGAAGAATTAGTATTGATATATTAGTTTGGTCGGCATGACCATAGTCAGTAGGTGATGGAGGTTAGAAAAATTGTATTGTGGATGAAGGCGGTCGGAAGGACCGTAGTCGACGGGCGACAGGGGTTGAAAGGACTGTTATCAAGTGATGGAGGCTAAAAGGACTGTTGTTGGGTGGAAGTCCAAGAATAATTGGAAGCTAGGTGGAAGTCCAGTATCGTTCGACGGCCGAGTAGAATTACAGTTTCAATTGGCGACTAAGTACAAGTCCTATGTCAGTCGATGGATGGGCAAAAGTCTGGCGTCAGTTGGTGGTCGGGCATCAATTTGGTGTCAGTTGGTGGCCGAGTAGAAATCCAGTGTCAGTTGGTGGTCGAGCATAGATTCGACGACAGTTAGTTACCGAACAGAAATTCGATGATAATTGGTGGTCGGGCAGAAATCCGGCATTGGTCGGTAGTGGGTTGAAGTCCGATAAAAGTTGGTGGTCAGGTAGAAGTCCAGCGTCAGTCGATAGACGGGTAGAAATCCGGCATCAGTTGGTTGCCATGTGGAACTCCTGCGGGGTTAAGGAGGGACGGTAAGAGAACTCACTTCCTTTTCTTCCTTTTCTTCATTCTCTTCTTGCTTGGGTTCCCTTTTGATGAGGAATGAGGGGTCTATTTATAATTTTTTGAGAGTGGCATTACCAATAAATAGGAGGGAGATCAAGGGCAAGTTGGGAGATGTCTGAATGGATGGTCAATATTGATACCCTTTGATAATAGATTATTTCTGGACATTTAAATGTCTTAATGACATCAAAATTTGATGATTTGGGCTTATTGGATTTGTCTCGTTGAGCTGCTCGATTTGATTATAAACGTGTCATATTTGTAAAATATTTGTTAATCCAAATTATGGATTGAACCTTCTAAACATGCTTGGGGTCTTTAAATTAAGTCAAAGTTGGTGTCGTTAGGTTCGTATTTTTTAGACTTTCAGTTCAATTGTAAATTTGTTGGAATCAGAGTTTAGATGACCTCTGATTTAACTATTAAAGTTTCCCACTTGATTTTCCCTCAAGATTCATGCCCGGTCAAGATAATTTTTTTATGATATATCAGTTGCCCCCTATTTTTAGACGTCAAAGCTCCAGAAGTCTAGAAATACTTATCACAATATTTCAAATTAATTGAATCACAAAAAATGTTAGAAATTTGTGTTCCCAAACATTTAAAATTGCTCGAAATTGATTAAAGAAGCTTCATTGAGCTCCCAAAGTGTCAAAATTTGATTTGAAAGGTTGAACTCGTCGGTGATGAAAGGGTGCGCCCCATGGGGTGTGCTGTTCTAAACAACTAGTTTTGAAGGTTTGTAGTTATAAAAATGCTTTATATTTTTTTAGTGGGGCCCACTTAATTATTTTTTTTAATGAGGCGGTGACCATAGCCGCCCCTCTTAGTTATTTATTTATTTTTTAATTTTGATTTTTTTCTGTAATATGTTTTTTGAGGAATTCCAAAAATTACTTCTGGGGGGGGGGGCCAAAAAATTTCAAAAAGTTTATATAAGTTTAAATTTTTTTAAATAAATTGGAGGCAAAAATTCTCTCCCAATTTTTAATCGTTTCCCACTCTTTTCATCATATAAATAGGACCCTAAGGCAAGGGAAAAATTGTCCATCTCATCTCCCCCCTTCTCCCTCTAACTCTCTTACAACTGAAGCATTTCATTATTTTCGTAGGTGGCATCCCCTACTCAAATTCAATCCCTATCTTGTATCAAAGATGGAATTTTTAGCCTTCCTCTCATTCTCTCCCCCAATTTCCTTCTTATGTTAGAGTTCCACTGTCTAAGATAGGTTGCATCCCCTTTCAAGCTTCAGTGTAACTCTTTGTCTCTTTTATATATAAGATAATTTCTTCTCCTTCAATTTTCTTTTTCCTCAGATTTTCTTCTTATATTAGAGGCATTCAATTATCTGAGATAGGTGGCATCCCATATCAAGCTTCAATGCCCCTCTTTTGTATAGAAGAAGTCATGATGAGAGTTTACTTTCTTAACATGATACTTTTGATAGATGAATATTAACTACCTATTGCATTCGAGCATGATTTGAAGAGATCTGGTGGTAATAATATCTGAGAAGAGAACTAGTGATAATCAGTAGACGAACATAGTTATAGATGATATTTGAGCGAAAGTCCAGTGATAATTGGCGATCGGGTTAAAATCTGATGTAGATCGATGATCTGGTGGAGAGTTGAAGGAGACAATCATAGAGTATACTGGTAATAGCAGTTAAACGAGAAGCTGATGATGGCTAATATGAAGTAAAGGATGATGGTGGTGGTCTAGTTATATTCTACTAGGTAAATATGTATTCATAATAACGTGTGCAAAAATCATATATCTCTAATTGAAGGGGTCAAAGTAGTGTGCTATATTAGTAGTCTGGTGATACACTAATAATATCAATTGAGTGGAGGACCGATGATGATCTGATTATAATCTTTCTTTAAAGAAGAAGTTACAAGAGATGTTTTAATGTGCAATAAAAAGACATAAATAAAATCCAAAAAAGATATTTAACCTTTTTGAAGTTGCTTATTGCTATTACATTAACTTGTATGGATGATGCAAATGTACTTTTAATTTCAGCTTCTAGTGAGAGTAAATATACACTTAAATCTATTATAGAATTTTTCTATATAAATCAAATGATATTGTATATGAATTTTAGATTATTATATGAGTTCGATGCTTATTTTTCATTTGAAATAAACTTGTTTCCTAGAGGAAGCTAAATTATTTATGCATCTTTGAGCATGCTTTGATATATTACCCCAGTATTTTTTTAGG